TGTTTTACTATAAGCGAAAAAAACAGACCGGGCGGTGGCTCACGCCTGTATCCTAGCACTCTGGAGCCGAGGCAGGCGGATTGCTCGATATTAGGAGTTCGAAACCCAGCCTGAGTGAGACCCGTCCGTCTCTAACAAATAGAAAAATTAATTGACCAACTAAATATATATATATAATAAAATTAGCAGGGCATGGTGGCACATGCCTGTAGTCCCAGCTACTTGGGAGGCTGAGGCAGGAGGATTGCTTGAGCCCAGAAGTTTGAGGTTGCTGTGAGCTTGGCTGACACCACAGCACTCACTCTATCTAGCCTGGACAACAAAGCGAGACTCTGTCTCAAAAAAAAAAAAAGTGAAAAAAACATTTGAAATGAAACATATTAAACTGTTAACTGTAGCTCTAGGAATGTGACTGAGAGTGAAGAATGTTTTATGTTTTACTGATAAATTCTTTTTGTGTTAGATCTCAATCCTTCTTTATCTGGGCCTATTTTACTTGCATACTTCATTGAGAACTTTACTGGGTATATATAGATTGTTAGGTCAAAATTTGTAAATAACCCGTATTCTTCTTTGTGGAAATTGTTCTTTATCAAAGTGTCAAATTGGGTGTCATTTCCCTCCCCACCACCCCCTGCTATTTCGTACTCAGTGGACTCTCAATCTGGAAGTGCAAATCCTAAGCTCAAAGGAATTTTCTTATCCCACCCCTGCTTTTTTTTTTGTTCTTGTTTTGTTTTTAATTTCCAAGAACAGTTTCTTTTTCTAATTTCTATCCTTTTTATAATTGATCTTTACTTGATCAGAGTTAATTGATATTAACTCTTGTGATTTTTTGTTTGTCTGTTTTGGTAAAGATAATAGATGCTCATTATTAAAACTTCAGGCATACAGAAAAATTAGAGAAGACTTGAGATCCACCCCAAATCCCACCAAAGACCTGCTCTCTCCTCTGCCCACAAGCACACCTGGGGCGTAGGGCATGGAAGCATGAAAACCTTTCTCAGAGAAAAGTTGTTTTCCCTTTTTAGTGAATGTAATTTATTTAAAAATGATGTCAAAACCAAAAGCTTTCTGTTTTGTCCCTGACAACCTCTCGGTGGTTGTGTCGCTCTAGTAGCTTCCTTCTGGTGGTGTGGAATGCCCGAGAAAGACTACAGACAGAGAAATGACAGGAATTGTCCACAGCTACCATGTGATCCCCCTGGACCACCCCACATTTTACCTTTTCTTGTAGGGACAATTGCCTGCCACTCTGTAGCACCATTTTGGTATGCATAGTCATCACCATCCCCACTGGGTTTTCAGCTCCTGGTTTCTTAGCAGAGTGTGGAGCGCACAGTAGGTACACTCCCTAAATACTTGGTTTTTTGTTTGTTTTTTGAGACAGAGTCTCGCTTTGTTGCCCAGGCTAGAGTGAGTGCCGTGGCGTCAGCCTAGCTCACAGCAACCTCACACTCCTGAGCTCAAGCAATCCTCCTGCCTCAGCCTCCCAAGTAGCTGGGACTACAGGCATGCACTACCATGCCCGGCTAATTTTTTCTATATTTATTAGTTGGCCAATTAATTTCTTTCTATTTTATAATAGAGACGGGGTCTCCCGATCTTGCTCAGGCTGGTTTTGAATTCCTGACCTCGAGCAATCCTCCCGCCTCGGCCTCTCAGAGTGCTAGGATTACAGGTGTGAGCCACCTCCCCCGGCCCATAAGTACTTGTTAAGTAAATTGCACAGTACTTGGAATTTACTCCCCTGTGAGGAAGACAGAGCAGGTATTTTGCCCACAAGGAAGACCGGAGAACAAAGACTCCAACTTTAACTGATTGCTGGGGTCACCCAGCCACTTGTTGACAGAGCGGGACTGATTGAGACCACACATGACCACACTCCTGTTCAGTTCCCACACTTCAGATCTGAAGAAACCTACTATCTTAGGCAGACCCTCAGCCTGGGGAGGGTGATCTGACAGCTACAGACATATCCAAAATAAATATAAGAGTTCTCTCACCCCCGGGTCAATGTAATGTTGAAATGGACTTGTTAGGGGAAGACATGATTTCAACTATATTTTTGTTTTTCACCTTAGTGTTCTACATGTGGGAAATGTTTCTCCCAGTCTTCAAGTTTGAACAAGCACATGAGAGTCCACTCTGGAGACAGACCGTACCAGTGTGTGTATTGTACCAAGGTAAATGGAACCTCCTTTTAAGTGATCTTTCTTGAGCTCTGCTTGGGTATCCATGGGTATGAACTTGAAGCATTATAATGAGTTCTTGGTATATGTTAGTCAAATATCAGCCCAATCCTCATTTCCACCCCCAAATATGCTCAAGTTTGCTCAACACCATCACATATGACCTCCTGTTGCCAAGTTGGCATGACGTAAGTACTACTGAAATGTTAGCTACTATTATTACTACTTTAATCTGTGAAGACTTAAATTGGGAGTGTGCTGTTGATCTCTAGCCTTCTAGAGGGATACCGAGGAAGTGGCATCTAATCTATGTTAATACAGAATATAATTAAAAATGGAGAGACAAATATTAATGCATGGTTAGGGGTGTTATAATAGAGACAATAGTCTGTCTGTACTGTAGAATTATTATACCAAAATACTTCATGTCCTATTTTGGTGACATACCATATGCTCTCCAAAGCATGATTGACCATTAACTTTATGTGGCTGTTTGAATTGATAAAAATGAAATAAAACTGAAAATTCAGTTCCTAAGTTGCACTTGCCACATTTTAAAAGCTCGGTGGTTACACATGGCTAGTGACCCCTAAATTGGACAGCACAGATACAGAAAGCTTCCATCATTGCAGAAAGTCCTGTTGGACAGCACTGGGGGTGATAGACCATATTTCTAAAAAAGTATATGTTGATAGAATGAAAATAATCGACATAGAAAAACAGGGCTGAGACATAACTAAACTACATGAACTTAGAGCATGAACCAAAGGAGAGCACTATAGATTTGTATGAAAAAGCAGTCTGTCCTGACAGAGTACATGCTCTCTCATGGAATTTCCAGAGCAAAGACAAACCATCCTATTTCTGGAGCTCTAAATCCAATCCTCACTTTGCACTTCTATCTAATCTGAGAATGGTGGATTGATTCCCTGAACTAAATCACATAAATTGGTGATTTGGCATTATGGCTGGCATACTGGATTCCAGTTACACTACTGGGAGACTGGCCGTGTCGGGGTGGCCTTCCTTACAGAGCAGTGACCCGACTCGCCATGTGCCTATCTGAAAGGTGCTGCTACTGCATGAGGGGGTGCCTCCAGACACCCCATTGTCGAGTGCTGCCCTCCAGTTTAACCTGGTGTTTTTCAGTGGGGGCCCCAGGAAGGAAGTTATTTCCTTATCTCTAATATACTACCTCAAAGTGACAAAGGTCAGAAAATAGTATTGAAGTGAATGAGGGGAAAGGTTCTAAGTAAGAGAAAGAGAAGAAATGGCCTAGAAAAGAAATGTAAAAACAGTAAAGGACTCGGAAATCTGAAATGTTACAGCCACTAGGGAAAACAATTTAGTAGTTTCTTTAAACATTAAATTTCTTAACTACCAAACGCCCCTGCCATTGCCTTCCTGGGCATTTATCTCAGGGATGTGAAGTCTCATACGTTCACGTGAAAACCTGCACACAAATGTCTATAGCAGCTTCATTCATAATAGCCAAGAACTGGGAACGACCCAGATGTCCTTCAGCAGGTGAATGAAACGGTCTGTTATGCATCCATTTGCTGCTGAAAGCTACTGGGCAACAAAAAAAGGAATGAAAGGTTGATAAACACAACAACCTGGATGAATCTCTAGAGAATAAGCAAATCCGGCCGGGCGCGGTGGCTCATGCCTGTAATCCTAGCTCTCTGGGAGGCCGAGGCGGGTGGATTGCTCGAGGTCAGGAGTTCGAAACCAGCCTGAGCAAGAGCGAGACCCCATCTCTACTATAAATAGAAAGTAATTGGTCAACTAATATATATAGAAAAAATTAGCCGGGCATGGTGGCGCATGCCTGTAGTCCCAGCTACTTGGGAGGCTGAGCCAGGAGGATTGCTTGAGCCCAGGAGTTTGAGGTTGCTGTGAGCTAGGCTGACGCCAGGGCACTCCCTCTAGCCTGGGCAACAAAGCGAAACTCTGTCTCAAAAAAAAAAAAAAGCAAATCCTAGGCCAGGCATGGTGGCTCATGCCTGTAATCCTAGCGCCCTAGGAGGCCGAGGCGGGAGGATTGCTCAAGGTCAAGAGTTTGAAACCACCCTGAGCAAGATAGTGGTTTGTGCCTGTAGTCCCAGCTACTCGGGAGGCTGAGGCAGGAGGATGGCTTGAGCTCAGGAGTTTGCGGTTGCTGTGGGCTAAGCTGATGCCACGGCACTCACTCTAGCCCTGGCAACAGAGTGAGACTCTGTCTAAAAAAAAAGTAAGTCTTAGGTTACATACTGTATGATTCTGTTTATATAACATCCTTGAAATGCTAAACTTACACATTTGGAGAACAAATTAGTAATGGACTCAGCTTCAGAAAGAATTGGAAGCGAAAGGGAACTCGGCATGGCTACGAAAGGGCAATATGAAGGATTCTTGGAAGGAAAATATTCTGTATCTTGACTATGGCAGTGCCAATATCCTGGTTGTGATGTTGTGCTATGGGATTGTGAGATGTACCATTGAGGGAAACTGTGTAAACATACAAGTGTAAAAAAGAAGGAGAAAACCAGTAAGGTATTGACTTAAATGCAAAGACGTTGGACAGTACTGGCTTCTTCTTTTAAGGTAGTTTGTCTTAAAGTGGGGTCCTGGGACCACCTGCATTAGAATGGCTTGTTTAAATGCAGTCTCCTGAGTTTCATGTCAGATTAATTGGGTCGCACTCTCTGGGGCAGGGCTGGTAATTTGCATTTTTAACTAGACATCCAGGTGACGTTAGTCACTGGAGAACCGCTGCTCCGATGTCACAGTGCAACTCACAACCGGCCAGAAGGGCAAGTCAGCCAAGTCCCCTCTGAGTAAGGCCACTGCTGACCACCGTGAGTGCTCCATAGCCTTCAAAGCCAGGGTTCATCTATAAGTACCAATAACAAGGAAATTGACCCCTTTGTCTAATTCAGTGACCAGCTCACGAAGTTGGCTTTTCTTGTGCCTCTGTCCTTTGCAGAAATTCACTGCCTCCAGCATACTCCGCACACACATCAGGCAGCACTCCGGGGAGAAGCCCTTCAAGTGCAAGCACTGCGGTAAATCTTTTGCCTCCCACGCTGCCCACGACAGCCACGTCCGGCGTTCACACAAGGAGGATGAGGGCGGCTCTTGTGGCATCTGTGGGAAAGCCTTCCCAGATCAAAAAACGTTCTACTCCCACATGAAGCTTCATGGAGATCGCTAGCTCTCAGGGTGTGAGGACAGCGTGGAAACTAAGGACTCAGATTCTCTACTGTTTATCTTGGGCCCCCGATTGTACTATTTCTGGTCATCACCTGTTATTTCTTTACTTTTTTTTTGGAGACAACGTCTCTCTCTGTTACCCGGGCTAAGTGCAGTGGTGTCATCATAGCCCACTGCAACCTCAAACTCCTGGGCTCAAGTGATCCTTCTGCATCAGCCTCCCCAGTAGCTAGGACTACTGGCGTGTGCCATCACGCCCGACTAATTGTTTTTTTTTTTTTTTTTTTTAAGACAGGGTCTTACTATGTTGCCCAGGCCGGTCTCAAATTCCTGGCCTCAAGCAATTCTCCTGCCTCCGCCTCCCAAAGTGCTGGGATTACAGTCGTGAGCCACCAGCCCAGCCCCTTGTTATTTCCTTATGGAACAAATTCTTTTAAAAGTCACTCAAGCTAGAACTTCATTAATGTTATAAGTAAGTCTTCAAACGCGAATTAATCTTCCATTTTCATTTGGACTCATTGTAAGCCCGTTATTCCCACCCCTCCCCCACCACATAACAAGTGCCAATTATTATGTTTAGCACCAAACAAAATTACTTGGAGGGCAAAGAAGTCAATTCCACCATCTATGACCTTTACCAATTGGGGAAGAAAACTTATAACCAAGCAATGAAAGGCTAAAAAATAAATAAATGTATTTATATTGCTAAGTGGATTTTTTCCCCATCTTTCTAGTTAGCTGGCTCCTGCTGAGTAGAGAGTGCAGGTACACACACTCACACACACAGAAGATAGAGACCCACTGAAAAGAAAAAATTGTGTTCTACAAGGCATCCAAGGCTGATGCAAGTGTGGGGGGAATGAGCTTCTGGCACATGCAGACCCAATGGACTCCGGGTAACAGTAGCCAACGTTTATTGAGCATTAACTCTATGAGATGGTACCACTGAGTTCACCACTTTACAGATGAGGAAACTGAGGCTGAGAGATGAAGAAAGTGGGGCAAGGTCATTTGCCTCTACTGGGCAAAGCCAGGTCTGTCTGACTCCAAAGCCCAGCTTCTTAACTAACCACTACACTCAGTTTATGAACCCTGCTGTCAACTCCCAATCCCATTCTTCCCTATATTAAGGCAAACAACAACAAACTTTTAAATATTCACTTGGAAGATGTGAGACCAGACAAAATAAGCAGGATGAAAGTGCTTTGCCGACAGCCACAGCTACTGAGTGTCTGACCCATCCCAGCCCTGTTTCTACTGACTGCCTAGTGGTCTGCTTCGCCCCCCAACATGGCCCAGGTCTCTCAAAATGGAGCAAATCCAATATGGAACAGATGCCCCTTCCAGAGGGAGGCTCCCAGCTGTAGCAGAGTCCACTGGGAAATAGATGCAGTGCAGTTGGAACAGCAGTGACAGATTTTCCTCTGGGGAATTCTTTGCTGCCTTGACTAGGTCTGAGTAATTTATCCTAATGGGAATGTGCCCTGTTGTTTTAGGACTGTTTTAGTTCATGTTAATTAAGTCAGAACAATGGTCTTTTGAAAAGGTTAGGGGGGCTCATCATGTCATTAGGCAGCCTTTCTTTGACTGCTAGTTCAAAATATATTACTTGAAACATTTTCTTACTGTTTGAGCGGGGTTAAACATCCTTAAATCAAACCATAAAGCAAGTCATCAGGAACTGGTGTGATCCCAATTTTGTCACTCGTTTCATAATTCAGATAAATCTACTTTGTTCTTTGAACTAGAAATAACATCAAAGGGAGGTCATTTTTTCCACCTTTTCTAAGAGTCACTTATTCAAATACATACATGCCAAATAACACCATATTGTATAGACCATGCATCCCACACTAACTGGAAAACTTTGGGGACCACTTTATTTAATCTGACCTGTTTATCCAAAGTTTTGATCGTATTAATCAGGTTATATATCTCAATTTTTAGTTTGGGAAATACAGTTCATAACATCACAACTTTTTTGAGTAATTAACTGAAGCTCTACTATGTCTATTTCTTTATAATGTGTATTTCACCTATTTCTAAAGGTAATTTGAACCAGCTTATAACAGTTTGAAAAGAGAGTAGGAGAGGCAAAGTTGAAGACAAACCACCACATAGTGGAATGAAATGAAAACTAATTAGTTAGTTTTAGGCTAACATACTTAATCTGGCTGAACATTGTGAGAAGCAGCCCAAGAACATAGAAACACAAAATAATGGATTTTAGAGTTGGACAAGCCTGTGTTTGTCCACCATTTCCTCACTGTATGATGTTGGACAAGTCGTTTAATTTCTGAGGTCTACCATCCTCATCCATAAAATAAAGTTTGAGAACCATTGTTTTGATTTATCCGTGGCAGTGGGTGAAACTGAGTGGCTAGGTAGCGTGGCGCAGGATCTTAGAGGTGTTCATTAGGAGAAACCACTAGAACGCAGATTGCAGGCAAAGAGTGCCCTTACTGGGAATAATGGATACCAACTGAACACAATCTCATCATTCTACTGTTGGAAATAAGGAGCTCTTTCTGCAGCTGTGGGTGAAATTTAGAGACCTTCTCCTATGGTAGTTTCTCTGCTCATATTTCCCTACCTGAGTCTATATCCGACGATAAATATCATCCATTCACTCATTAAAGAAAAAAAAATACATAAAAAGGGACATTTAAAACCCTGGAAAAATAACCAAGCTCAGAGTAAAGTGGCATCCATGATATTGATGGAGCTCTTAATGGGCCCTCAGGGTGTCCTAGGACCTGGGCAGTTGGCAGTTGCAGCGAACAAAGCTATCAAAGTAGACAGATGTTTGGGACGTCAGCGGGGCCTGCAGTATGCTCCGTGTTGTGGCCATAAAGTCACAGCTCAGCTATACCCAGGCAAAGTTTAGAGCAGGCTAGGGCTATTCAGTGTAATAGAGGCACAATCACAAATACGGTCGGAGACCATCTATTACTGGTGGGTCCGATTTTGACAGGATAGGTTGCGTGGTATTTCACTTACAAGTAGTTTTAAGTGCTTTCAGAATGCTTTGTGACTCTTGGGGAGTAGTAATTGCACTGAACTATCATTGTAGGAACCCTACCCAATGTTCAGAACAAATTTGTACACTGAAGTCTTTCAATAGAAACGAGCTAGCATGTTATATCAATTTTTTGCTGTTTGACAAATATTAAAATTATTTTGATAGAGAAATAGTGTTAAGGATAATGTAAAATAGAGATAAATGTCTCCATTGATAATCTCTTCGTAAAGTATGGGAATCTCATATAGAAAATAATAGTTTTCTACATTTTTTCAACAAGGTTACATATTCAAGAAATATAAAATGCTTCCACTTATTGGTGCAAAGAATTTTCACCTTATTTCTTTTCTGGCTTAAAGTAACAAATAAAATAAGAGTATGTCAAAGTGAGATAGTTAGCCCTAGTTACAATTAGGATAGAGAATATTTAGGGTTGCATTTCTGGAGAGCAGGTTTCAGGAAAAAAAAAAAGAATGTTTTGGTTGTGGTTCTATTTTTTCATATGATCTCAGGATAAAATATTCTTTTCACTGTCAAATTCTTTTTCACCTTAAATGATCCCAGGATTCTTTCTTTTTTTTTTTTTTTTTTTTTTTGAGACAGAGTCTCTCGCTTTGTTTCCCAGGCTAGAGTGAGTGCCCTGGCGTCAGCCTAGCTCACAGCAACCTCAAACTCCTGGGCTCAAGCGATCCTCCCTGCCTCATGCCTCTCGATGAGCTGGGACTACAGGCATGTGGCCACCATGCCCAGCTAATTTTTTCTATATAATTTATTGGCCATTAATTTCTTTCTATTTTATAGTAGAGACGGGGTCTCGCTCTTGCTCAGGCTGGTTTCGAACTCCTGACTCAAGCAATCGCCGCGCCTCGGCCTCCCAGAGTGCTAGGATTACAGGCGTGAGCCACCGCGCCCGGCCCCAGGATTCTTTCTTAAAAAAATAAATTTTATTCCAGCCTGAGCACGAGCTGAGACCCCAGCTCTACTATAAAGATTAGACAAGAAGTTTAAGTTGGCCAAACTAAAAACATTATGTAAAATAATTAAGCTGGCATGGGGTGGCACATGCCTGTAGTCCCAGCTACTCAGGAGGGCTGAGGCAGTGAGATTGCTTGGCAGGCTAGGTTTGAGGTTGCTGTGAGCGTAGGCTGGACGCCATTGGCACTCTTAGCCCAGGCATACAGAGTGAGGACTCTGTCTCATAAAAAATAATAGTAGGTCTCGGGCGACGGTGGCTCATTCAGCCTGTAATCTTAGCACTTGTTCGATGCCAATGGGCGGTGATGTTGCTCAAGGTCAGGGTTGAAACCATGCGCGTGAGCAAAGAGCAAGACCTCTCTAGCTTAATAGACAGAATATTTAATTGGCCAACTAATTATATATAGAAAAATTATGTGGCATGGTGCGCATGCCTGTACGCCCAGCTACTCGGGAGGCTGAGGCAGGAGGATGCTTGGAGCCAGGAGTGTGAGGTTGCTGTGAGCTAGGCTGACGCTACGCACTCACCTAGCCTGGGGCAACAAAAAGTGAGACTCTGTTCTCATAAAAAAAAAAAAATGAGGTAAGGTTTTGGGATCATATATGTGAAATTTTTTTCTATTCTTAACCAATTCATGTACCGAGACACAGCAAGAGACTTGAGAGGGAAGACACAGTACACAACAAAATCAGTCCTTTGTTTCCCCTCAGCTTGTTTTCCACCGCTGCACAGACCTGAAGCGGGGCCAGCCCTCCGGACCCCTGCTGTGAATTCCTCTCCCCTGGGTTATCTGATTTAGAGGTGCCAGAGCCCAATTCTCCTAAATTTGATTTGAGGCTTGTCGCCAATATGGGCAAGGGTCTTTCCAAGGTTGTTGCTATCTCTATTTCCCAGTTCTTAAACGCCAAATCTTTCCGGAACATAAACCCCCCGGCAATTCCTTTCCCGTGTCATGTGGGATTCCAGTCCTGTCCACGTGCCCAAGGGGAGGACTGCAAGGCCA